TTTGGGGATGGTGGTGTTTATATGTTTATAGTGAGAGGACCTCTCCTCTGCCTGAATTTGTGAGAATGGTAGGCGTATGTCCTATGAAGGCAAGGACAACTATTTCTGTAAATATGGCACAAACAGAATATGAGCCAAAGTGACTGTGAACAAAGGCTACAGTTTGTGAACAAGACATTTCATTCCAAATGTACTTTACAGCTCTTAAAGAATGCAGGTAGGTAGCCAGAATCAGTTGGAAAGGATTTTCTACTTGTTTCTCTCCTTAGTTGGCTGACTCCTTTGAATTTTATCTGAGTTCAGTTTCGGAGCCATTCCTGTTCTCCCATTGTGTTCCTTTATTCAACAGTCGGTTGACTGGCTGAGTGATGAGCAGTGTTAACTGCAGTCATCTAATATAAGGTGACGTGATGATTGCTTTTCTGTCCACTGCTTTCTTATAAGCCTTGTATTTTGTTACCTTTTAAAGGTGACAAAATAAGTTTAGATGACCAGAGCATCTGAAAGCAGAAAAATGTCTTTTTTTACTTTTTAAATAAATAAAGTCCATGCCTGCGATTTTTTTTTCCAAAATGTTGAAAAAAATTACCAGGAAAAAAAGGAGATATATTCTGCTGGCAGAAGTAAATCACACCAACTTTATATTCTTTGTATCCCAATAAGTTCATCAGAGAATCTGAGCATACGTAAACATAGTACATTGAAAAAGCTCTGTGAGCTTTTTATAGCATGATTGACTTGGAGTTTCAGATACTGATTCAGAGTAACATCTTTATGATTTGTAATCAACAGGGTTGGTGAGATTTAATCTTTGTAGTTGCAATAAGTTCTCTTTGGTGCTCACTTGTATCCAGGACTGCTTCTTTTGTCTGTATGTGCAATTGAAACACTACCTCATTGTTTCAGTTCAACTCAGACTGTGACAAATTTTAGAATACGCCACTACTGATGACTATTAGCAGTTAAAGAAATTCTTATTGTGGCTAATACTGTGCAATAAAATCTCATTAACATGACTTAGCTAATCTGCAAACATCACAGTCTTCACAAAATATGGCAATTCTATCCCTATTTTGTTTTATTTGATACTAGAGAATGACAGTAAGGTTATTTAAATTTCATCGTGGTTGTAAATTAGGTATACATTCTCAAGTAAATTCAAATTGTCACAATTGTATATTATTAAAAGTACATTATCACCTGCCTTACATTAAATTTATACAGTTCTAGGTAAATAACAGAATCACATTATTAGTGAAAAGGGACCTCTGGAGATCTCTAGCGCAACATTTTATTCAAGGCAGGTCCAATTAGATCAGGTTGCTTAGAGCCTTGTCCAGATGAGCATCTAGTCAGAACTTCCACTGTGTCCACTGCCTTTCATCTCACCCCGTGGAATCTGTCTTCATCTTCTCTGTACCCTCCCATTAGTTAGTTGTAGACAGTGATAAGATCTCCCTTGAGCCTTCTCCTCGGACAGCTAAGCAATGCAGTTCTCCCAATCTGTCAGCCCCCTACCTGCCTCAGGAGCCCTCGGATGCACTCACTCCAGTATTTCAATGTCTGTCTTGATTGAGGGATCCCGAAACCGGACACAGTACTCCAGGTGCAATCTTACAAGTGCCAAAGAGAGAAGAATCCATTCCCTTGCCCTGATGGCTACATTCTTGCTAATATGATCCAGCGTGCAGTTGGCCTGCTTTGCTGCAAGGGTGCACTGTCTGTCAGGACCCCCAGGTTGCCTTTTAGCCAGTCAGCCTCCTGCCTGTCTTGTTGCTTAGGATTGTTTCAAACCAAGCAAGATGCAGGACTTGCATTTTTCCCCCATTGAACTTCATGACATTTCTTTCAGCCCATTTTTTTCAGCCTGTTGAGCTTCTCAATAGCTGGGAGCTTTCTCCCTAGTCTTCTATCATCTGCAAACTTGCTGAGAGTAGTCTCTATCCTATCATCTGGGTTGTTAATATAAGACATTCAACAGTATCAATCCCTGGGGGATTCAATTAGTAATGAGCCACCAGTTGGATTTTGTACAACTGATCACTGTCCTTCGGTAGTCCAGCCAGTTTTCCATCCCCTTGTCATCTTACTTAGCCAGTCCTATCTCTCAAGTTTGGCTATGACAAAGGTATAAGAGACCGTGTCAAAGACCTTGCTAAAGTCAAGGTATACAGCATCCACTACTATTGGCTTATCCATACAACCTGTCATCCATTGGGTTAGTCAGTACACTTTGGCACTGGTAAATCTATGCCTGCTGTTCCCAGCCACCTTTCTGTCCAGTGTTATTGTTGCCAATATCACTATAGGTAATATTGGTATTATTACCAATTATCTTGCCCAATAATATTGTTAATAATATATGTTTCAAATTAAGTTCTACTTACACAGAAGCAAAGTTGTTAGGCTAAGTTTCCATTTTGAAGTCTTGATAGTGTAGCAGCATCAGTTAAGAATGTGAGAAATCATTACTTCTAATGACTACAGCTGTCTATCCAAAATTTACAAGGTCTCTGATAAAGGTAGGCTTGTGTTAAGACATGCTCTGAAATGGAGTGACTGAAGCACAAACATGCATGCCATTTTTTTCAGCTCTTTAAGGTAGTGACTTTTAGCAGGGTTTGGGGCCAGGTATCCAGTCGTAATCTGCTCCAGTGAGATTTGCTAGAGGCTTCTGTTGGAGCCTGAAGAGCATAGTTATGTGTTGATGGTCTACACTGATGAAAATAACAGCTGCTGTCATTTTTTTTGCTGGCTGTTGGTGAGCTGAGCTAGCCAGAAATCACAAAAAAACCCTATTTCTATTAAAAAAAAAATGATGCCTTTTGGCTAGTCTAGTACCTTGTGCTGGCTTACTACGTGACTGCTCAAGGGAATGGGTAGGAAAGGAGAGGGGTTGGATGGGAGCCTGGCAGCTCCAATGTATATTGACTTAAGTCACCCTGGAGTACTGTCCCCACAGTGTATGAGTGGTATGTACTAGCAAAAAAAAGGTTTTTTTGAGAAGGCTTGTTCTTATGGGCAGCTGGTATAATGCTATATTAACAAAATTTTGCCAGTAAAAAGGGCATCTTCACTAGGTTGGTTTACGAAGCTGACCATAGTGCCAACATCTTTTTTTGATTTAGGTAAAGTTTAGGATCTTACCAGTTTACTTATTTCTTGGGTGGGAAGGAAGTTTTTTATGGAATCCAAACCTTACATTTAAACTTCTATACTAGTAGTGCTTTTTGCTTGTTAGAATTAGGATCAGGTAAGAGCTGCTGAACAGATTTTGAAATATTGATAAGGAAAAGATGAAGTTTCCCTTCAGAATCATGTTACCCTATCCTCCTTGAGCGGTAAATAAATATGAGAAGAGAAAAGACAGGAAGATGATGGATTTATTAACTTGACCTTGTACTGTTGAGAAGGCAGCCACTGGATTATGAACAAGGAGGCCAAGTCATCTCTACTAGGAAAACTGTAGTAATAAAGAAGCTATTACTCACTCCATGTTTGTTATTTGAGTTCTAGAAAACCATCACCATTGTGATATAAATTCACAATGATTTATAGTTACTTTTCTCCTCCTGTCTAAATGCTTTATTTCTTAGTCTATGACTATTGGGGAATGTTGTAGAGGATGAGTGACTTGCTCTAATACAGTGTGCTATGGTTTGTCATGCATTCTAACGTCTGGTATTTCAGATGATGTGCAGGAGGCTTATAACCTGATTAAGGACCTGGAACCTACAGCTCCACAGGTAATTGGAAACTGATGTCATGGTCCATAAAGATGGAGGTTATAAATTGTTATGAAATCTGCCACATACAAAATTCATATCCTGAGGACAGCTTGCCCCATTCCCACTTTTAAAACTGTTGTGTTTTCCATCTTTTTATCAACAATAGACTTAAAGTGCATGCATAAAGTATTACATATGAGCATATATGAGTACTTAGCATGTTTATTGCCGTACCACCTGGGGTCAATAAGAACACAGCTCTGTTGTGTGCAGGCTTGATTCTAGTGAGCTGACCATTAGTGCACAGATAAAAGCCCTCTTCCAACTACAGCTGCTTGTCACGTCTGCCCTGGTAATGGTTACCATCCCGCAGATCTACTAGCTCAGATGCTCATGTGGTTTGTCCTGAAGCCATTTCAATAAAAATAAGCTAGATTAGATTAAACTGTTTAAATAATAAGTCTTTTCTAATTCCATCTCACTTTGGCTGCAATGAGTGAAAACTGCAGTGTCCCTTGGCTGCTACTGTAATTTTCTTTTGTGGCTGTTCCAAGATCTTTAGTCTCTGACTTATTCCTCTGCAGTTTATTTTCCAAAGGTCACATAGCTGGGCATGAAAGGGACCTTTCATGAGTCTGTGTGAGAATTAGATGGAGGGAGGGAAAAGGAAAACCTCGAGAACACAGATCTGGTGATTCTGTGCTGAGGAGTGTCTTCTGCTGTTGCTTTTCACTTCTTGCATTTTTTCAGTATAGCAAGACTTACTTGAACAATTTTCTGCAGCTATTGGTCCTTTAGCCTGAGTTTTCCCCATATACGTGCCTAATATAAATAACATGATATCATTCTTGATCACATTTTGAAATGAAAATCTTTGTGCTTTTTTTCCATTTTCTCACTCACACTTGGAAGGAACTCCCTGCTAAGACTTGCAAAACTACTTGTATATCCTCCTTCAGTTCTCAAATTTCTTCTTTTTCATGATGTCTATAGGCTAATAATTTGGCATCTGTAAGAGTTGATGTGCTAAAATGATTACTTGGCATGCTGGCTAGTACTCTCAGATTGTTTCCTGCACTCCATTGTTGGTCTGTGTACATGTCTCTTTCTCTTCTTCCGCATTTACGTCTGTGACAGGGCTGTTTATCAGGAGTACCTACTAAAACAGGTTTATAGCTATAACTCTTAATTAAAAGATTTGAATAAGACAAATGAGTCTGTTACACGCTGAGAAAATCTTGCTCAGAGAATTAAACTATATTTGTATCTCATAGTAGAGATTACAGGGTACTCTACTCCTATTCCTAATTTCAGTAGAGTTACATGAGCACAGAGCACAAACTTCTTGACTTTTTTGCCCTGATGAGAAATGCTATGCATTTTGGAGCAAGGATGGTAGTGGTTATGGTTAACCAATGTGCATATTGAAGTGGGATCTGTGCATTAATATAACAATATTGCACTTGACTATTGGTCATATGATGGTGAAAAGGGCATGATAGTATGTTATGGTGTTCCTTCTGGTGCATCGTCTTTGAGCATAAGACTTACCAGAAAAGACACCACCCCTTTGCATCCCACATATTTAGCAGAAGTGACTAGCTAGCAAGTAGAATGGATTTTTTGGGGGTAACTTTGTACTACTGTGCTGAAGAACTATCATAGTAACCAGCTACCTATGAAACTGAGTTGGGATAGAGTTGAATTTAGGAAGAAAATAATGTGCACGTAGGCTCTTTGTGTCTCCTGAAATCTTCACATTGTCTTCTCTGATCCTTTTTACTTTTTTTTTTTTCAGGAGTACATCCTCAAAGGAGTGGTAAATGCAGCACTTGGACAAGAAATGGGCTCGGTGAGTGAAGCCCATGAGGTTCTCCAGCTTCTCCAACAGTAGAATGCGAACAGATCTGTAGGGACTGGAATGGAGTGAAAGAGGCAGTCATTTCTCATTTAGATTGCAGGATCTCTGAGTCTCTTAATCTTCTTCCATACAGTACTTGGTCCGGAACGAGTGAGATGCAAATCTCTGTTGCTAGTCCTGACAATAAATCAAGCTGAATTTGGCTTCTTTGTTCTGCTTCCAAAAAACCTGTTTGCTTTCTACAGTGTTCTTGTGTATCTAGGCACATACAGTGGTACATTTACCTTTTCTGTTTTCACTTCAGCCCTGGTTTGTCTGTTAGTTGCTCCCCATCTGTTCCTCAGAGCGTATTTTCAGTGTGTATTGTAGCATCAACTCTGGAACTCATGTTGGATTTTTTTTTTTTCCCTCTCCCAGAAAGATCATCTGAAAATTGCTCAGCAGTTCTTCCAGTTGGTGGGTGAATCAGCCAGCGAATGTGGTATGTTTGAAATGCTCTTTCTCCATTATGTAAACCTTCTTACAATATCCACATATATACCATCGTATCTTTGTCTAACTGCTGACTGTTAGCATGACTATTGCTAGGCATTTTGTTGCTATAGTATGAGTAACAGAAAGTCTAATTTATAGTCTAAAACAAATTTGCAAGTTTAAATTAGAAGGCTCAATTAATTCCAAACCTTACTATATGAATTGGCTGGAAAAGAGGCTATACTGCAAACTGTTAGTCTTCACTGATAGATGCTGTGGCAGCTTGCCTTTGACTAGTAATCCCCATTATAGAAACAGAAGACAACAGCCTAATTAGATGAAGTGTGTGCTGAAACCTCACAGGTACAGATGCTCACAGGTACAAATCTAGGACTGCTAATGAAAGCCTATCGAGTACGTAGAGTCCTAGCACAGAGTGTGCCCTGGAACTGAGGGTGATTAAAAATGTAAAGAGGAATTTGGCTACAGAAAGAAATGGAGGCTCTGGGACTAACTCGTTGGTTGAATCAAAAAACATAAACATCATAAAACCCAACAAAGAAATATATTTCCAATATTTACTTTTACTTATACAATAATAGACCAAAACAAGACCTTGTCTTCCCTTCCCCTTGCCAAAGTAAAACCAAAAATCCCACATCAAAAAAGCCAGTAGTCAGAACACAGAAATTCAGCTGAAATGGGGCTTCCCAATTTCCTTTGTAGGCATTGTCAGTAGGACTATTTCCTTTGGTGGGTAATTTATGCATGTTTATGGTGCAGACAGCTTATGGTTCTCAGAGACAGAATGCTGTCTCCTGTGTCCACGGTGACTAAAGAGAAGGAGATCAAGAGACAGAGTGGCAGCACTGATGAAACTTTCGGAAGTACTGTTGAGCCATTCTGTTCCCCTTGCAGCCCTTGTACTGTTGAGATCGTGCAGCAGAGAACTTCACATTGGAAGGCTGGAAGTGGTTCCATAGATGAGGCTTCCCTAACATGTTCCTTTTGCATTGAGGCTATCCCTTTGGAGCTGGGACTCGGTTAGTGGGCATATAGCTAACTGGGTTTCTGATGCCAGTAAAGTCACAGGGTATTGGATACAATGGTGGTAGACCTCTTAATAAAAATAATACAGAGATAGTCTGAGAAAAGATATCCTGAAAAGATGTATAGTGAAGATTTAACCCAAAAACAAAATTGAAATTGTTGGGAAGCTAAAAGTCCTAACGTTACTGTGAAATATTTTTAAATACATATGCAAAACAGGATAGAGAGGCTCAGACTTGAGGTATGGTTGAGGGGAAAAAAAAAAAGGAACAGAAATGTAGTCCAATTAGGAAAGGTGGGTTAATTGAAAAAAAAATGAGCCTATGGGAAGGATTGGCTCCAACTAAAGGTAAATGGAAACATTAGTACTGCAAGCATCTTACATTCTTGGCACTTCCATGTAAAAACTGCTTTGTCACCTTTTTAAAAACTTGTGGGAGAAAGCTGATATACAGAAGAGCACACAGTTCAAGGTAACTCCTCCTTTAAAGGCAAAATAGCGTGAGGGGGTTTTTTTGTATCCTCAAATGAAGGACAAGTGGAGGTCAACAAACTGTAGATAGGAAATAAAAGAGGCAAACAGAGTTCAGTTTAGATAGGACATAACAAAAAGCGAAGACATGAAGACCAAATATGTAAGTTTTTTTATACAAATATTAGATGTTTTACAAGAAGATGAATAAAGTGGAACACCTGGTTTTAGAAGAGGAAGCTATAAACCTAAAATATTTTTTAAAATGTGATAGGAGGAAGGTAATGTAGGATATTGTTCCTATTTAATTTACAATGGGGTATTACTAAATAGGTGACGCCCGTGGAGAAATGGTTCTAAACATGATAGAAACTTTCTCTCAAAATAAAGTAAGTATATTTTCTTTGTCAGTGAGTAACATAAAATTGTTTTAAATTACATGCTCCAATAGGAGACTCATCGTATTGAGGCTAAATTATTCACCAGCCAGCCTGGATGGGAACAGTGACTGGCATATTAAAGAGGTTAGAGATTTTATATAGATAGATAATTAAATAATAGTTGGAGACTTCTATTCTGCCCATATTGACCTAGTAAATGCAATGACATGGCATGATACAGAGAATGAATTTTTAAATGCTAAGTTTTCATCTTTCTTAGAGAACACACAAGTAAACAGGTGACTAGACCGATACAGAGATTACATAGAAACTGATCTGAAATTTTATTATGAAAATCCAATTCTGTTACAGTGATCTGAGTATAATCAAATTCAAAATCCATGTGTTAGCAAATACCTCAAAAAATTTCCACAGTAGTAATTTCAAGAAGGGAAGCTACATAATAACCTTTCTCATTTCTAACAGAAAATTTTCAGTGAAGTAGCAGTGAAAAGGATAAAATGCACCTGATTTGAACACTTGAAAGAACCTTTTGTTTCTTCAAAGAAAGGGCTCGTATTCATAATTAATGACCTATAGGAGACAAATAATGACATAACTAGGTTTGTCAATGGTACAAAATTACCCATAGTAGGAAAAATGTGGAAGCTTCCACAATGATGAAAGCTGGGGAAGAATATATGAGGCTGGGTAATAATATGCAAATTAAATTTATCTTTGATAAATGCAAAGTAGTACATAGAGGGAAAAAAAACCCTTAAACTATATTTGCAAAATTATCAGAAAAGTTGAAAAGAATCTTAGGAATTGATGAGGAAAGGGAGAACAAAACAAAAATAATTACTGTATCATTGTATACAGATGTGATTCCCTTTCTTGAATACTGTCTGCCGTTCTGGTTCTTGCATTTCAGAAAAAATATGGTAGAACAAGAAAGGATACAATAAAGACAGCAAGGATGATCAGAGAAAGGGGATAGCTTCATGAACAAGGAGAGATTAAATAAAGGAGAATACATGGCCTGGAAATTGATGACTGAGTTTGGTTATGTTTGCGATACAGAACATCATAAATGACAAGGAGAAGAGGAATAGAGAAGAATTAGTTACCATACCATACAAAAAACAAGGAGCGTTGACATAAATTGTCACACAAGACAATTAAAACAAACAGCACAAATTACTTTTTCATATAACACAACTTATTTGATATAGAATCTTGCGAGAAACAGAAGGTATAAAGAAATTTGTAGAAGAATAGTCCATTGGCTGTTTAACACAAATTTTTCAGTGATGATTAGGAAGTCCTCAGTGCAGGTTGTGGGAAGCTGGGAGAAACTTCAAAGGAAGTGGCATTACATACTACAACATGTATTACATGTGAAATCAGAATATATTCTTTCTATAGCTGTATATTCTTACTCGGCAAGCTTCTGAACCAGATAGACTTTGGATCCAATATGATCATTTTTATGTTCTGATGTAACTTAGTGTATTAGCCACTGTGTTGTATATTTGTGGTCATTTTTGATTTGCTGCCTTTGTTCCGCTGGATTTAGAATGGAGAACAGAATTCTTGCTGTTTGTATACTTGTGCTTTTGCTAAGTAGCCAACCGTGCTATTCAAGTATGTAAGTCATGCTTCAGCACTTCCCACTGTGCCAATCCTTGCAAGGAGCTAGTACCGCTAGATTGTCTGTTTAAGATCTTTATCAAGTTACTTAGCTGCTTTGTAGATTTGTAATACAAAAGTAAGTTGTGCTCGCTAGAGTGAGGAAATCCTGTGCTGTGTCTTTGCTCGCAACTGGGCCTACAAGGCTCCTGATTTTAATGTGGATTATCAGAAATTAATGGCTTAAAATGAAGATGTGGAATACTTTTTCAAAACAAGCTCCTATCTTTCTGACTTGCTCTTGTTAACTGTACAGACCCCAAGACTGCATTAAGAAAAAAGCAGCAACAGACAGTTTAGGAAGAATACAGTGTCATGCATTTGTAAAGTCATTTGGAGTCATCAATTAAGCCCTTTGCTATTTTTAAGTAGATCTCTGACTTGGAGGTTCAAGGAACATAGAGCAAACAGATTTCATGTGAAAGTCCTTTCCAATACATGTACACATTTCATCTCATGTTGGAATTTATGTACTTTAAGGGGAGTAGGGACACCCAAAACAAAAAAAACCAGGAAGCACTTAGTGTAGGAGTCAATATTCACCCTCTAGCAGCAATAAATAATACCCAGAACAGCAGCTGGGTTTACTGGGTATGTTAAAGCTTAATAAAAATTCGTAATCCCAATGACATGAAATGGAACTGGCATTACAAAGGAGGATATAACTAGATTTTTATAGTTAATTCCCATGGTCTTCTCCCAGGGTCTCAACTGGGTGGAAAATTAAACAGATCAGCTTTCTGAGATAAGTTAAGGAGGAAATGGGGCAAGAGGAACATTAGTAAAAGTAAATGAACATTAACATTTCCATTAAATGCAGTGTTTCTGGTGCTTAACATAAGTCTTACAAACTACCCTAAAAACGCTGCAAGCATAATGGAGAAAAGCACCCCTTTCATTTTCAGTGGTCCTCTTTTAGGACCAAGTCAGGCATATCTAGTGTTGGATGGGAGGAATGAAACATTTCTTCTGGACTTTGTGCAGTCTTTTCTTTGAGGTATTCTTAGGTCATCCTAAGTAATTTTTCAAAATGAGAACTTTTCTTCTTCCTGCATGAGTCACATGGGATGAATTAGAACTATAAAACTCTAGTTTTCCTGTCACTAGTAGTATTCATTGCTGAGTTGTATGAGATTTACAGATGTTTTACTTCTTTGGTTTTTTAATGAAATCTTTCACTAAAAGTATATGGAGGATGGTATGCTGGGATAACAAAATTTTCTGCCAAAATGTGGACATAAGAATAAATACTGAAACTTAGAAACTCTCCAATCATATATGGGAAAAGTGTGGTTCTAATATTTTGTTACTGTGATTAATTTTTACTGAAACTGTATTCTCAGTTTTAAGTCTTCCTTGCATGTTTATTTGCGTGTTTGTTTTATTTTGTTTAAAATAAATTGCTGTGAGTTGATGAACTTCAAAAATTGAATGTGAGAGAAAAGGAGCACTTTTGAAGTACCTGCATTCTCACGACAACAAAAAAAAGAGCTGAGGAACACTGAGCAAAATTGTTTCTGTTATTGTCCTGTCAAGGCATATATGTGTCATGATAAGTATGCCTGCATGTAGAAAAGGACAGATAAATATACAGGCCAGTTTCTGCTCCCAAGCGAACACTTCATAAATAACCAAATAATTTTCTTAAGTTGGAGAACTGAATGATGTGGTTCAGGCACAGATAAGGATGGATTGTCTATATGGAAATGACAGGACATCCAAGCTCAAAATCTCCTAGTGCTAAAAGGTAAAAAATGAGAATATGCTGCTTTCCTTTGAAATATATTTTGAGATCTTATATAGTGCTTTCCAGGAAAAACTACTACACTACCTTATTTAAAGGAGAATGTACAATTTTCCAGTGGAATGCTATATTTCGTGCTGCGGTATGGAGTCGAAATATTGGTCTTCAGATACATGAAATTCCTATATACAGAAAAGGTATTTTAATTTTCTAGTGTGGATGGATTGATGGTAACTAACCTACAGGAGCAGATTACTTCAGGGCTGTTGGTAGCCTTAGGATCTTATCTCCTGTCACCTCACCAAACTGCACAAAGCAACATGCTCTCTAATGATCATTTGACATAGTGAAATAGTAGTGATTTGACATCACTTGGGTTTATGCCTTCCCAGCTGCTACTTGGACTCATCCATCTCTGACCAATTTCTGCTGGTTGGGTCTAACAAAAATTAGTCCTAGTAAGCTTACTTCAGAATCTCCAAAACCAGCTTTGAAATAGTTTTTCAGTAACACAGCTAGCAATTTCAGAGTAGATGACAGCATAGTATGATGGCAGCCAAGTTTATGATGACATACATGGCAGCAAAGTTTACTGACACTCATTTGAACTGATATGCTTGGCTTATTTATGGCTTTACCACTTGTGAGCAATGTGATAATTCCAAGTGCATGAAAATTAATTTTCATATTGTATTTAATCACTGAGTATTTTTCCTGTGCATGTATTAATTTTTTATATATATATATAACAATATTTTCAGTGTCTCATTTTTACTCTTTTACTAGAACTAAAATTAAAATATGTAGAGCTTCTCTGTCCAGGATAACTAAAAAGCATAATTTTAAAGAAAAAAGACTAATGAGGTTAGAATAACAAACTCAGGCTTTGTATCAAGTGTCATTTCCTAAGAGTAAGAATAATTCATGGTAAAATTATGCTACATAAATTGTGTCATGGAAAAGGCCTGTTACATAAACAATTTGTCTCTGTAGAATTTGCTTTTGAATACAGTCTTGCAATAGTTATTTTATGCTGTAGAGAAAGTTGACAAGATGATCTAATAGTTTTTCTAACCTCTAGTATGGTCCTTTGCCTTGAAAAGGCAAGTTACACTATTTTTAGAAGTTAGCTGCTTTCATAGTTGCCAGCAGTCTTGACAGTGATTTCCATTACCATGTGATTTTTAAATTCTACAAGTCTGCATTTCTCTTTTGAATTTTAGATACCATTCCAGGGAGACAGTGCATGTCCTCCTGCTTCTTTCTTCTTAGACAGTTTGGTAATGTCCTGATTTACCTCAACTCAGTCAAGGTTAGTATTATTATTTAGTATTGGTAGTACTCTAATGCATGGAATCACTATTTATGGAATTAGACTGTACTCTGTGAGACGCTGTTTAAACATAAAAAGATACAGAAACACAACAGTAACAACAAAACACAGGAACAACAGTGGGACAAGTGGTCAATACAGCAAATTGATCAAAATGTAAGGAAGCAGTTTAGATAGCATTGTGCAGCATGGTGGTCTTATCACACTTGCAATTTAACCATTATCAGGCTTTCTGGTGGCATCACAGAAGACAAGGAAGATAATTAAAGGAAGACAATGAAAAAATTTGTGGATATTTATGGGGTGGGCAGCATGGAGGAAAAAAAACATGTTTGGGGGTTTTTTTAAGACTTATCAAATGAGCAATGGAGATTATTGTCACTGGTTAATAATTGGGGACAACATTTTAATGAATGAGAGTGTGTAAGGAAGATAGGACATGAAGGACCCTGAAAGTAATAAAGTTTATATTTTATAGGGAAAGCAGTCACTGAAGGGCTAAGATAGGGCAGTATTACCAAAGCAGTAAGCTAAGAATATTATTTTTGCAGAAGTAATCTGAGTGGTACCCTGCAGGCAATGTTGCATTTTTCAAAGTAAGAGGAGGACATTGCAGTTACCATAATGCAGCATTATCAGATCACCAGTATTCAATTGATAAAATGGATATAACTTACAGATATGCAGTTATAAATCAGATGTGAGGAAAAAGAGAGGCTGGAGTGTGATTATAGTTAAGTGATTGCAGCCTTGTTCTACTGATTTGAAACTAGAGTTGTAAAAACTCTATATTTGGTAGGAAGAGGAAGGAGAATCTAAAAAGAAACAGTTAGGGAGATGCATGAGATGAGGACAATTACAATGGTCTAAGAGGGTGAGACCTAAAGAAAAATACGTGGCTGTAATGGTGCCAAAAGCAGCTGATAAGTGAAGAATGATGAAGGTGTAGTGTTTTTAAACTTTGCCTGGAAAGAGGTCATTGAAGAAATCCCAAGTGGCTGTAGCCACTGGAATGGCTCCACTGTAGTGGAATGAAGAGACACCCCACCACCACCACCCCAAATTGGACTGTGTGTGTAACTGGAAAAAAGGAGAGCTGGAAACTAACAGTGAGATTTGTTTTGCCTAACTTGAGCCATCTAAAAGTCAGACTTCTAGTTATAACTGATCATCTGGTCTCAGTCTATAGCCAATGGGGGCAGATGGTAATTTCTGAAGGAGAATTCATCCTGTGTATTTCTTACACTTAGAATGGAATGAGTCACCCCATAGAAATACCCAGCTCTTTCCATTTACTTAAAGTTCTTAACCTTTTCAGGTTAGAACTAGCTGTTTAAGGTTAAATGCAATTACTTACCACCTCCAAGATATATGGGAAAGCTTAGAAATGAGAGGGGGGGGGAGCATCTGGGGAGGCAAATAGAGTCATCATTAATATTGGAAAGTAAGGTATGGCTAGTGTTTGTAAAGGAAAGAGCTAGAAGCGAACAAGACACTAAACAAATTAAGAGGGTGAAAGTGGGCAATAGGGTGATCAGAGGATAGGTCAGAGTCACAAGGCAAGAGAAGTGCTACAAGGAGGGCATTAAGTGAGACAATTCTGCATCTGTGAGGGTATAAAGGAAAGTGTTGTAGGAAGGGTTGGAAAGAAAATCCAAAGGGAAAAGGAAGAGCACAGAATACTCAGTGTTATTTTGTAAGATGTAAGAGCCCATGCAGAGGGAAATATAGGTGAGGAATAGATCTAATGTTTAAAAACTGTCAGGAGGAAGGCAGAAATAATGACAGGTACAGGTATGCAAGCCTTCAATCCTGCTATATTTATCAACTAGAAGAAGGAGCGTTCTTACCTTGTCAGATTTGGGAGAAAAGATTTTATTATGTGTGCATAGGGGAGGAGAAGGGTTATTGGACTGCTTGTTTGGATGTTTTGTTTTGTTTTGTTTTAAAAACTTAGCTGTTTTGCTGAGAGTATGTAGAACTACTGTTGCACATTATAACATATATATGTGGATCTCAGCTTGCAAGCTGGACTTCTCCACATATACATGCCTTTGGCATCAGTAACCATATATATGGGTCAAATCAAAACAGATTTAGGCAAAGATGGTAATTTTTTTTTAAATATTCCTTCAGTTTTCACAGTTGTAATGTGACTGCATTTATAAGGACATACTGGATACTCCCCCCTCAACTGCAGAAAGAAAGGTGATTCAGAGAATAATTAGAAATTGAAATATTGTCTTAAGAGATTTAGAAGACAGATATTATTTGCTACAGAGGGAAATTAAGAAAATAAAATGATACAAAATGAGGACTAGAATAAACAAGGTAGATTTGAAAACTCCATTTCTATTAGGAGAGGCTGAAAACAAGATATGGCTTACTGGAATTGCAGCAAATTCACCATGTCTTTTCTAAGAAAATGCATTTTGTCCTTCTCAAAACGCAGCTGGTTTGTGAAACTCATTGTCATAGTTCAAGGCAGGGTTGAGGTTGCAAGTCTGGAAGGTTTTATAGATTGTATCTAGCGAGTTGCAAAATGATCAAGCTTAAGTTTTGTTAAATCCTTGAAGGGAATCATAAATACTGGTACTTTGAGACATAATGCAGTTGATAAATAGCAAGGGACAAAGTTTTCTGCCTACCACCACTTTCTTTGCATGGTCCTTTTGAAGTAGTTGGTACTCATAATTTTCTAGCTGAGACTAGGCACTGCTCAGATTTACTTGGGTCATTCCCCGCCTCTTCAGGTCACAGGGATGCAAGTAATTCTTCCTGTACCATTTTACAGGCAAGGTTTAGGTGGCTTTACAGTCACCTTTGTGTTTCATTCACAGGAATCAACTTCAGTAGAATCTCTGCAGCTCTTTAAGTGAAGATTGTTTGCATGATATTCTCTCAGGAAACACCACCTTCATCCATGATTGATTAAAACTGCTTTAGGCATGAGAATGTCTCAAAGGACACCTTATTATAAATGTATTGCCAGCTGCCCTGAGGGTGACATTATAACACTGAGGATCAACTGAGAAGACAAGCTAAGTCAGGCTCAGCTGAGTTCTGGCCACAACGAATGCTTCATTGTTCAGCTGGGTATCTGAGCATCTCATTGAAATGGACATCACTCAGACCACAGTTAGTTAGTTTTATGAAAAGATTGAAGACCACTGAAAAGACCGCAAAAGAGTGAAGTCCAGTACCTACAATGTGGTTTTAAAAAAAAATAAAAAGAAACAAAACATCTAGCTGCTGTGAATGTGTTGCACTATCAGCAGCAGTAGTTCATTTATACTGGTTTTGTTTTCACAGCAGGTCTGGTCTCTAGCACTCATACAGCCAGGATGGAATGACACAGTTTTTAAGATTGGTTGCTGACAGAGTTTCTTTTCCATTTTACTTCAAAAATACAATGGGGGCTATTTGAACAGAAGGAACTATTCATGCAGTAAACTAGCATCTTGCTCACCAGCTTTGCTTAACCTGGGACTTGTGCTGATTCACACGAAACTATCATTGAGGAAGAGTACAGTAAAGTGTTGTAATTCTCATATGGTGAAACCAGTTAGTTCACCCTAAGGGTACTGAAATGTTTTCACAAACTAAGCTTGAGATTCATCTGATTGGTTCATCCTCATGCTTTCACATAGCTTGCTATATTTGCTGGCTCTTTTGGACTCTAACATAGACTATTTGATCTGGCAAATGGTGGCCACCCCCCACCTCTCCTCTCCAGGCACCGGCTTGATGTACATGGGTGGACTGGGTCAGTACCCTTTGTTGACTACCTGTGACAGGGAAGAGGTTCCTCCAGTGTCCCTACATAATGAAAGAAGATAGAGAGCACTGGGAAAGGGTTTTGTCCCTTGCTTCCCATATCTTTTGTACAGTCCCAGTTGTGCTTTTTACCTCCTCCTCACTCTTTAATGAGAGAACAAAACAAAAGTTTGGTCTTCCTACACAAGTTCTGTTTCTTTTATAGATGTTACATAAGGAAAAACATTTCTTTTCCACACACCTTGCTGTTATGCACACAGGAAAGCTTTTCTTGCAGTAACTATAGTGGATAAACTACCCTGCTTTTTTCCCATGCTCTTTCACAAGCACTGCACCTCTGCTCAGTGGGGCTCCTCAATCCCATTCACATTTGTAGCTGTGGTATTGTGTTCCACCTTACCTCTACCAGGTCTACTGGTGCAGCAGTGTGGGACAGTGCTGAATGTAGAACACACTCAGCTGACTTTTGGTCATCTGAGTTATACTTCAATCTGGACATCTGACCATGATCAAAAGTAAGCTATTTGGGTCAAACCCAAACATCAGGCCAATCTATACCTAGAGTTGTATTTCCTGCTTTGGCCTATGCAGCTTTTCAGAAAAGACACAGCTAGATCAACCTGATCTGTTATTAACCAGGTGTGTCCAGTCTAATACTATGGGAGAGAAAAACTTAATGTTGCACTTCAGATAGAGAGAAGGGTGCCTGTAAGCAAGGCTTGAGCTTAAGGAAGTCCTGTTACACAGTGTGCTGCCTGCTTACAGCCTGGTACTGCAGCTCCACCTCCATCATGTGATCCAGTGTGTCAGACTAGCATCTGTCACATAACCAGATCCACAGGATCTCTTGTTGAACCTTGAGAAGTCTTGGAAAAACAAACTGTTCATCTCCTTAAGCCATTAGGGAGTCAACTGCCTATTTACCACGCTAGTGGTGAAATAAGTGCTTGGGAGGTGGAAGAGACCACGGCAGCACAGCATGTCTTCACATGCCCAAAGTGAAAATTACATCCATAAAAGCTGCCACTGCAATTTTGAGCTTGGAGCATTCTCCAGATCTCTCATGGTTAATACTGTGGAATGTTCCAGCTGTGTTTGTAGTCACGAATGTAGGATGGAAAGCCAGTCCATAATTTTCTACCCACAGTTTATAAATGCCTTATGTTCATAATGTGGGTTTTTCTTTTTCCTTCCCGTTGTCTTGATATAGTCTGACTCAGATTTAGGGAGGAGGATATTTTTAATGTTGTTATACCATGGGAGGAGGGTTTTTTTTGTTTTATTTATTTGGGTTTTGTCTGTGTGGCTTATTTTCCAGAGTTACTTCTACAACAATGACACTTTTAACTTCAACTATGCCCAAGCCAAAGCTGCCATGGGCAATTTTAGTGAGGCTGAAGAGGTATGTATTTACTTTCTTTAAAAAACAGCAATGGAAACATTTCCCACATACTCCCCTCTTTCCTTCCTTTTCTCCCTCCAGATCTTCATGTTGGTTGAAAATAAGCAGGTTGTGGAACATCATCTTCCCCTTCTTAGAGGAACCGAAACTCTCAGTGAACACTATTCAGAAAAGATTATCTTGCTAATCTTGTAATGTGAGGTATATGGAGAGTCATGCTGCTTGTGGTGCATCACAAGAGTGCTTGCAGCTATCTCTAATTGATCAAAGAATGCCCTCTTAATCAGACTTCCTACGCTTTGTCTGGGATCCCAGGCAGTCTTATTGTTAAGACTGACGAGGGCATGCTGACTAAGAGACACTGAATAGTTAAGAGCTTCTAGGTGTCCCTAGAAATTTGTGTTTAAAAAAAAAAATTTCTTCCTCTGGGAGATGTGGGAGGAAAAGAGGAAGTGCTCACTATCTTATTCAGCAGCATCCAGATGCAGCTGGAAGAGATTAACTTCTACACACAGCATTTTTTGTGTCTATGTGCAGTAGAAACTTAATTACAACTAAAATATGCAAAAGCAAATAGCTATTATGAAGATGGAAGCAACATTTTCCACAAGACCAGAAAGAAGACAAGCCAGAAAAAAAAACCTCAACCACGTAGTCTAAAGTGAATCATATAGGTTTGAGATTTTTTTGTTTGTTTTTCCTGTCTTTCTAACTTTTTAACTCTTCAGGTTTCTTGACAACAGAGCCCCCCTGTTTTGGTTTTTTTTTTCTTTTCTCTCCCCCCGCCCCTCCCCCAGCACTCACCCCCTTAATTTCTGTGACTTGAAATTGCATCTTTCTTCCTCAACCACGTAGTCTAAAGTGAATCATATAGGTTTGAGATTTTTTTGTTTGTTTTTCCTGTCTTTCTAACTTTTTAACTCTTCAGGTTTCTTGACAACAGAGCCCCCCTGTTTTGGTTTTTTTTTTCTTTTCTCTCCCCCCGCCCCTCCCCCAGCACTCACCCCCTTAATTTCTGTGACTTGAAATTGCATCTTTCTTCAAGAAAAATATCCAAGAATGACAGGCAAAATGGATATATATTTCAATTCACCTCCCTTAATTTAGTTAGCTTAATGAAAATGCAGGTGAGTATCTTAAAACTATACTAGCAGGCTATGCTGATAAAAAATGATAATGCTATAAGTAAGCTTTAGCTGCAGCCAGGCAACAAAGAAACACAAAGGTGTAAACTGCTGTTAATCCACATTTTTCCTCTTATGTTCCTACAAATGATTCTATATAAACTTGTGTTATGTAGCTGATGCATTTAAATAACAGGATTATGTAATTAAATTGATTAGTCTGTCCTAATGTCTGATCTTTGCCTGTGATGACACTTTCATATAAAGATCACCCTTCCACAGTGTCTCATAAACTTGTAAAATATCTCCACATATAGCACTTATTAACTTATTGAAAAGCTTATCTCCCTGGACATAATGAAATAAAACCTATGATAAAGTGCTACTTACACTGATAATGCCGCCTTTTTTTTTTTCTTTCTTCCCCACCCCCAAAATTAGGGGGTCAGCAATGTTTAACCAATAAAAATGTCAGTAATTTGTGGAACTCACTGTTCCAGTATATACATCTGCTCCTATAAAGGTATTTTGAGTTTTGCCAGTGGCATCCTAGTATAGTTACAAATATACCTGCAGAGAGGCATAAATACCTTTTTTTTTTCTTTCTCCTCTGAGTAAAGCCAGAGTACATTTTAAAATTTATAACTTCCACACACACATCCCTTTAGATGTAGGATGTAATAAACCTGTATTTGTACAGTAAGTTACAAAAGACGAATGTTTTGCCTCGGAACCTTACTGAAACCAAAATGGTTAGAAATGGCTTATTGCTGACCTGGAATGATCTCTGACATGTATGGGGAGGAAAGGTTCATATATATGTGTGTGTGTGTGAAACTTCTGGTATTTCAAGAAGATGCTAATGTAATTGCTTGCATCGCTTTCTAAACAAACACATTCCAAATGGCTTTTCCCACAGGCCCAGTGTTCCTTTGTGCTGTTTGTGTTGCATGGCCGCCCACTGGCACTTGTTCAGAGTAGGCCGCACCCTCTGCACAGCTTGGTGTTTTGCAGCTGCAGAAGTCCCTTGATAAGCATGGCACTGTTTGAATCCTCCACCTACTCGACACAGAGAGAAGCCCCTAGACTGCACTTGCATACCCTAACTCTTCTCATGAAGCAGTTGTTCGTGTGGCTTAAGCCTTAGCTGCATGTTGAAACGAGGCAGGTCTGCCTTCTGTTTGTTTAAAAGTAAATGCATGTATAATCTTTTATTTTCCTTCTTCCTGCAGGTGTTCCTTTTGATCCAGAGTGAGAAGATAAAGAATGATTTTGTTTACCTTAGCTGGCTAGCTCGCTGCTGTGAGTCACTTTACCCTCAACATTGCAGAATACAGATCCTCCTCTATTGCATCAGTCTTGGCAATCCACTTTCTTAATTGAATTTAATGTTGTAGGTGGATTCAGGACTGTGAAAGTGAAAAGCTGATTGCACTAGTTATGGCATGGGTGGTTATTGCACCTTTCATACATCTGGCTTTAGTAAGCAATTACTGGTTCAGTGCAGCGCTGTTATAGTTCCATCAATGCAGCTTTGTCCTAACCAGTGAACCTTTTTCTTCTCAATTGTCTACTCAACTTCTTGAGTGAAGATTTTCTGTCTTAAAAGACTGAGTTACAACTCAAAAATACTCAGAGTAAGACATAAAATAGAAGCATCCATACTGGGTCAGGCCCAAGGGTCTGTCTAACTCCAAGAGCAGCCAATGTCAGATGTCTAGGGAAGAGAAGAATCAGGCAAGCATACATGGTATTTTTCTTCCTACTGCTTTACTCTTCATGTCGGTCCAAATTCCTGTGCCTGAGGCGTGTCGTTTATAATCTCCATCATGTTTTTTCTTTCATAAACTTTTCCATTCTTCCCTTGAAACCAGGAAATTTTTGCCATGTTTAATATCCTATAGCAATTTTTATTAAGTATTTCTGAGTCAATTTTTAAAGCATGGCAGAGTACACCTCAGTACAGATACAGCTGCAGCACCACATGCAAAATAGTATAGAGGTGGGCTATTCTGATGACTCAAGTCTGAGATTCCCTAGGCTGGTTTGTTTTCCTTACAGTGCCTCAATACAAAAATGCTCTCTTATCATACAATTTTCAGCAGTTGTACTTGGAATGTAAATACATTTGTTTTGGGACATTATGCCATATTGCGGATGTGGTCAACATCTCTAACGTGATCTTTCCAGACAGGCATATCACACCTATGGATGCCTATCTATGACTCTCTTTTAGGACATGCCAGTTTATTTGCTTTTTCATTACGCTCCAGTACCTGGTTGTGTTTGAGTGTTTTATATGTGAATGTTTTATGTGAATTTTTTTGATGGGAGAACTCCCATTGCAAAGGGAAATCATGGTTGTTCAGTAGACAGTGTTCATCCTTTTGTACAGTAGACAGTGTTCATCCTACTGTGCTATAGTAGTTCTTTGACATACATCTGGGGATGCAGAACTCTTTGAAGGTGCTACTTATTATACAAGAAGTAGAATCATCACCATGTTACCAATTAAAAATTTTCTAGCTCTTTCATAAGAGTTGCCATTTATTCTTGAGTGTGCCTTTTGCCATTCTGAATTCTTGTTGAAGTTTCAGTGGAGCTGCTGTATTCTTCTGTGTCTGTCTTAAAATTTTGATTTTTCATTCCCAAACAGCTGCTAGAATTCTTTGCAGAAACAACTGTTCAGTGATGAGTATAGTTATCTTTTTGTGTCAAGTATGTAAATTACTATTAGATCCTTCTGGATAAAAGCTGCTGTAGAAATTACAAAGCATTATAATACATTCATGTCAGAGTATGATTAGGTATTGAGTCATAAACAATTCAATGCTGAAGTATTTCCAGAGGGCAAAAAGTACCAGCAATGCATCTTTTTGGATGCTAGACAGTATTTTTTTGTTTAATATTATTGTACTATTTATACAAAATTCTTCTTGAAGAGAAGGTAAAAAAACATTGAATTAGCACAGTACTCCATTTCTCTAGATAGATGGGTTAGTATTTGGAAATTAAGACCTGGCTGTTTGCCACTGTGTATGGTATCTGGAGCTGATGAAAGAAAAATCTGATTTGATGTCTTGCTGCCTCCTAAATGAGAAGTGTCTATAAATTCTGTGATTTAGTGTTACATGTTTATTGTTGATATTGCCACCCATTCTACCTGCAACGTATGTATTGGCACAGTGGGCACAGATATAGTAAGCTAAACAGTCCCTCTTTTGAAAGAGCACAAAAGCGGTCATGTGTGAACAGCCAGCTACTCTGTGAGTAGCTGGTAAGACTTGAATTCAAGAAAGGAATACTTGAATGAGTCTGGAATTACCAATATTGACCTCAGATTCAATAGAATGGGTTCTTATCTCCAGAAAGAAAATCGATTTTAGAATTCTTTGTGTTCAAACACCCTAGTAGAATTTCCACTAGCTGAGATGGAAGAGACAGATTCTTTTATTTCTAATTGTGTATAGCAGTGATGTTTAAAGTTAAAGGCCAATGAAAAATTCTAGTCACATAGGCAAATTTAAAACCAGCACCAAATCTCAGGAATTTGGAAATATTTTTTTCTAGTAGATGCATAATGACAAGTTTTGTTATGCTTGTAGGGGCTTCACCCACCCCCGCTTTGGTTTGCTATGATTCATGGGGATTGAATGTTTAGATTGAGGTAGGCACCAGGTATTAAAGACCTCAGGTCAGTGCCAATTAATTTTTTTCTGTGTGTAAGAACACATAATCCTAAATCTCACCATCTAAATGGACTGCCACAGTTCATTGTCCTGGATAAAGTAACTTCTGTAATGCTTTCCATTCTATTTCTTAATCACATCTGAAATCATGAGAGTTGTGCTTATTGCTGTATCTGTGAAATATAAATGGAGATGTAAACGCCATAATTATTCCTCTTGACATTGGTATTCTCTGATGAATTGCTGTTATTGCTAGTAAGGCAGAAGATAAGGACAAGTTTCCCTTCCCAACCTCATGCTCACAGGCTGAGGCATGCATTTACATTAAGCAAAGAAGTTTAGGAACATTTATTCCACCTGCCATTGAGTATTGTGTGTGGCATATTCTTTTCATAATCCCAGCTTTTTGTTGTTATTGCAGATATTATGAATAAGAAACCACAGTTGGCCTGGAAGCTCTATCTGAAGATGGAGACCTCAGGGGAGTCCTTTAACCTTTTACAGCTCATTGCAAATGATTGCTACAAAGTGAGTCTTCTCTTTAGAACTTGGTGTTTGGCATGTCAATTCAGTGATTGTACCAACAGCCTTTTTTTTTTATACTTTCCATCATTGTCATCACTAGTGAACTTTCTTTTATAACAGCAGGATGTCTAATAATGTAGATGAGTTGTGTTCCCCAGGGCTCAGTTTTGGGGCCGGTCTTGTTCAATATCTTTATCAATGATCTGGATGAGGGGATCGAGTGCACCCTCAGTAAGTTTGCAGACGACACCAAGCTGGGCAGGAGTGTTGATCTGCTCGAGGATAGGAAGGCTCTGCAGAGGGACCTGGACAGGCTGGATCGATGGGCCCAGGCCAACTGTATGAGGTTCAACAAGGCCAAGTGCCGGGTCCTGCATTTCGGCCACAACAACCCCATGCAGCGCTACAGGCT